ATGTAAATGGTTGTAAGTGATTACGACAACCAATCAGAGTAAAGCAATCAGTGAATAAAACATTCGGATTGGTTGACTCTTACGTTCACGACTACGCTTACGCAATTGTAGAATGGGCTTTAGAGTTCGCATGCTATTTAACTGTCTAACGGCCGACGGTGGCGAGACGATATTGGTCGCTTTCGAATTTGAGTGTCACTGTTACTAAAATTGGTAGCTAAAACGTATGTTTACATAATCGTGGTTCTTATGTGCCGAATCAACGCATGTCAGGTTCGGGAACGCGAGGAGCGAATCGGCCGAGGAGCGAATCGGCCGAGGAGCGAATCGAGCCGAGATCATGCAGTTGCCACGTGATTGATCGGAGCGATCGCAACGACTTAAGGCTGCTAAATATTTTGGAAGAATCTCACAGCTCGCTATTGAAAGCTTCGAGAGTCCTCCAGAAAATTACCGAACGCGATATCAATAATAAACGCATTGTCCTTTTCTTTCTTTCTTTTCTTTTTTTCGATCCTAAACAGAGTGGAATACGCGGAAGTGGATCACGCGGAATAATACAAAAAGTAGACTTTATAATGTTATTTCTTACATTCTTAATAATTTTAATAATATTTTATATGAATGATATAATATATGATAAATTAGTAAAGAGTAAGATTAGTTTTTTAATAAAATATTTTTTACGAAAATATGCAACTATTTTACGATTGGCTAAAACATAATTCCGCTGCCGCGTTTACCGCTTCATGCGATAGAAGGAAAAGTACATCAGCGGAATTGCGGTAATGCATTATGTAATATAATAAAGTGAGATCTGTTGTGATTAATTATAGAGAATATATTATGTGACTTTTGTCGACAGTGGCTGTTAATTAAACATATAAACATATTCACATATTATACATAATTGTTTACTACAATTATAAAAAATATTAACATCTTATTCCTTACGATTTCTCCACTCATCATTTCTAAACGAAATAATAAAGAATGTCGGAAAAATATATATATAATAAATATATAAGAAGCAAATAAGATATGTAAGATATGTTGAGGTTATCCGCGACTATCTTTATCCTTTCCTCAAAATTGCAACGGTAAGATTATAAACGGCACAAAAAAGAGCGGAACGGCTGTGATTGGCTGGACTGGTTCCGCGTGTTCCGTTCCGCAGAGAATTTCCGCCCCATAGGACGTCGGCCTGAGGGTGCTACAGAGCCCGATTTTGGCGTTAGGCTCTTAAAAAATTTTAATTAATTAAAATATATAGCGTGTTCGATTGACCTGGGTTAATCGCTTCCAGAGCGATTAATGACGTCATAAGTCTTTACTAGCCAATCATAAAGCTTATAAGTACTTGTTTGACCAATAAATGTAGGCTGAATAAACCAGAGTGGGTTAACCCAGAGCCAGGCGAACATGCTAATAGACTCGTACTGCACTTCAACCTAATGTTCCTTCACAATAATTTAGATTATTTTTTTTCGACATTTTCTCTTAAAAAACGCTTTGTCGCATCCTTGGGATTATTTTCTTGATTATGAATGTCACAATCATATTACGATTTTTTCTGTAGTTGGCTCAAAATTTGGCCAAATATCAACGTTAGTTTTGGGTCCTCCGCGAGATGTCTCTACTTGGGCTATTGTAACCCTTAAACTGGCCACACACACTTTCTGAAACAGTAACCGTAAGACGTAACGCAAGAATTGACCAATCATGTTGTAAATAGTCGAATCATAATTGGTCGCCATTTTTATAAATACTCGATCGTAATTGGCCAATTCTTACTTTACGTCTTAAGGTGCCTTTACATGGAAGCATCGAGTGTCGAGCGTTGAGGTGCCTTTACATGGGAGCATCGAGCGTCGAGCGTTAAAGAGGTAGCCAATCAACATGCCACTTTCCGCAAGAACTACAAGTATACTTCTGGAACCTGATACGTTGATTGGCTAACGCTTTAACGCTCGACGCTGGAACGCTCCCATATATTGGCACCTTTACGGTTACTATTACGAAAAGTGTGTGTGGCTACGGTTGCGTTCTTTTATTTGCAACAGATGTAGCTGAATGCAACTCGTTGCATCAAGATTGCACTTTTTAAGGTTACTAGCTAGTGATGTACTGTCCCTAGAAAATAAATTTTCCTATTGGCTATTGGATCGTCGTATGTCCGACGTCGGGTCCCAATCAGTAATGTATCAGTATTGCTTTTATAAAAATTGTAAGAGAGAGAGAGAGAGGCAGTCTAATAATAATATCAAATAATATAAAAAATATCATTAATTGAAATCGATTTTGTACGTGGAACATGGCCAGTTATTAGAGGATAAAGAACCCTCAGAGTTAATTTCAGATGCTGTTATTAAAAACAAACCTCCAATAGCTCCCACATTTGCAGTATCCATCTACAACTCATTAATAAATTAATTTTTCTATTACAATATTTTTTACTACAATTATTCTGATAGACATAAAATATTATTGTTATATAACATAGACGTAACACGTACTTTTGTTACTTCTATGTTATATAGCAGTTATGTCTTTCTTTGTTAATATTGTAATATTTCGATATTGTAATATTTAATACACATTTTTGTATATTTATTAAAGATATTACATCAATTACTACTATTCTTTATCCTTTTCATCCATTAACTCAACAGCACAAAATATTTATAAAATATTTATAAGATTTATTTGAATATTTTATGAATATTTAGCAAAATGTTTCATAAATATATTTACAAATATATTTACAAAATATTTTTGTGACCTTAAATTCAATAGATGAAAAATATTTATATATCTCATAAATATTATAAAAATATTTATTAAAATATATACATTTATATACATTTTTCTCTTTTCCTGAATTTTTTTTTAAATTTCCATTTTATTGTTTCACACGCTACTTAATTGAATTTAAATTGTATTTTGAAAATTTGCTTACCATTACTGAGATTCGAATTTCTTATTTTTTTATTAATTTAATAATTTTAAATAATTATTTTTATTTTTTTCATATATAATATTTGTAAATACATATATTTACAAAATAATACTACAAATACTTATTTTTTGTTTACTATAAATATTGTGTAAAATATTTAGTCTGTATTTTAATAATATTTTCAATAAAGATTTTCATACTTTTTCCTTCATGTATATAAAATATTTATATTATATTTAAATAATATTTTTAAGAAATAATTCGAAATAAATATTTATCATAAGTATTGTGTGCTGTCTGAGAAACGCACTACTTTCTGCACACCAAAGAACCGTATTCGTACTTAAGATTCTTATACATTCGGAACTCAGGCTACAATTTTTCGGCAGCGGCTTGGATTGGGATTAGAGATGCTTATGGCTCCTGCATACATGACGCGGTAATGTTTGCCGCGCGGCGGAAGTTCGTGCGACAGCTAATCAATATGCTGCTTTCCGTAATAACCTTCTAGCTCTTATGGAAAAACAACATATTGATTGGCTGTCGCGCGGACTTTTGCCGCGCGACAAGCATTATCGCGTCCTGTGTGCAGGAACCATTAATCGATTCGATTCTTTCCCTAACAAATTTAGGGAAAAAAGGTTGTTCGTGCTGCTTGCATGTTTCATACTTTTTGCTTTTAAAAAGAGATGAACGCCTAATCAGACGCTTGGAAGAAACAATCGAGTTGGTTGTCTCGTTTTTGGTTCTTCGAAACATTCCAATATACTTCTGTCTAGTTTTAAATACGAAAAGTGCGAAGAGTGCAAACAACACGAATAAGTCTATTTTTGGGGAAAGAATCGAATCGATTCAGAATCGGGCATCTTTAATTGGGATGCTAAAAGTTGTAAGCAATTGCACGATTTTGCTTGCAACTTAAATTAAAGAACGATCAAGATGTATGCAGTCTGCAGCTTGATGTGCGCAACTGGATATACAGAACGATTAAATTACGCATCGGATGCATCGGGTTGTATCTGTTGCGAATAAAAGAACGCACCCTAGCTTAAAGCTGGTGGCACATAGGCTTGGTTTACATCGTGCACTTGATACGCGTATTAAATAGTAACTTTCTATTAGATAATCTTAATATTGTATATAAATAACGATGTATATAAATAACGGTATATTAAGCTGGTATAATATTGATCAAGAAGACTTATTTTATCGATTGAATGCGTCGTCGTTGATATGCATTGTCAATATTAAGATTATTTAATAGAAAGTTACTATATAGTACGCATATCAAATGCACGATATAAATCAAGCCATAGAAAAACTTAAACAGTAAAAAGACGTAAGCTGTAAGCAAATTTACCAATTACAGTCATTGATTCTTCTTATGGTCCAAGAATCAACGACTGTGATTAGTCAATTTGCTTACTGCTTACGTCTTACTGCTTAAGTTTTCTGTGTGCCACGGCCCTTAAGGGCCTTCACACACAAATTGACCTAATAGTAACGTAAAACGTACCGTAAGAATTGACCAATCACGTTAAGAATTGTCTAATCGTAAGGTCGCCATTTTGATGAATACTCGATCGTAATTGGTCAATTCTTGCGGTATGTCTTACGTTACGGCTACGGAAATTTGTGTGTGGAGGCCTTTATGGATTACGGCCATCACAAACCAGTCTTAAAGCTGGTGGCACATAGAAAAGCTTAAGCGTCTTCTACAATGGCAGTAGGAGTAGTAGTAAGAAATAAGCAGTAAGTAAATAAACCAATCACAATCGATTATTTTTGAAACGTGAGAATAGAATTGATCAATTTGCTTACTGCTTATTTTTTACTACTACTCCTACTGCCATTGTAGATGACGCTTTAAGCAGTAAGACGTAAGCAATAAACGAATCAGCCAATTACAGTCATTGATTCTTGGACCGTAAGAAGAATCAACGACTGTGATTGGTCAATTTGCTTACTGCTTACGCTTAATGCTTAAGTTTACGGCCTTTACGCGAGGCAGATTTCTCACGCATGCGCGGCGAGCGCGGATTAGCAACATAGGCTAACGCCATGTTCTCCCACGCGGTAACGAACTTCATAGAAGCAGAAAAATGGCCAATAGTGTATATTTCTCGTTGTTAGTCGATGAAGTGCAATTTTGAAGTTCTACATCTCTACGAAATGTGCATGTGCAATTGTGTACGCGAAAACGTATACAGCGTTCGTCGTGAAAACGTGAGTTTTGAAGTTGTGAAACTTAGTAAAGGCGGTGTCGGGCGAACAGGAAACGCTATGATGGCTTACCAGCTACTGCATCCTTTGTAGCTTACACGTATTTCCGAAAAAACGCGTTATATATCTTACAATAATTACGAAAGTCAAGCAGATAAACTAAAAGCTGACCGATCGTCGTGATATTTCCTTGTACATGCGTTGTGATGATACGCGACGCTTTCTTTAATATTTCGATGTTTAGTGCAGTTACGATCCTTTCGGAACCGAGCGTTTTACAAGGCATAATTACAACTGAGCGTTCATAGCTTTCAATGAAAGATAATAACTCAATGTATTGATATAAAACGTTCTGTCTGAAGTAAGTTGAGACTGCGTTTCAATATTCATTGCCAAACTGCAAATGTATAGTTCATGTTATGTATGCTATAGATTTTACTGGCAATGCATTTCGGAACGCAGCCTGAATCACTATAAGCCTTTTTATCTGTTGCAGCAGTCTTTTAGCTATATAATAGCCTTCTAGCTATATAATGTCATCAAACTTTATGTAAACTTTATATAAAAAAATATTTTGAAACATTTGCAATCTCAAGCAAACCGTATCCATAGATATAATAAATAGAGGAAATTTTCCTCTTTGTGTATCATATGAATATGTAAAGAAAAATTGGCAGAGAAAAAGTCATTGTAATATTTTTCTTTATTATGTTATTAAAATATATTTTTTATTATAATATGATATTAATCTGTTTTTTTATTTGACAGATAACTTGAATAAAGAATTAAAATCTTTGAAACGTCATAATATGGCGAGTCCTTCACCGCAGTCTTCACCTATGCCACCTCCACAAGCTCCAAGTCCAATGGGTCCACCTCAACAAGCACCATCTCCATCCAATGCACAAGGTAGTCCAATGGGACCACCACAGCATCATCCTCATAGTCCAACACAAAGTTATCAAGGAGGCCCACCTATATCATCAGGAGGACCATCTATGTCGCAGCCACCTCAGCAATCGCCGTCTCAGCAACAAAATTATCCACCTCATCCACAGCAAATGCCCCCTAATATGGGTCCACAGGTATAATATTTACTGATTATATCAATAATTATATCTTTGCTATGTGTGACATAGAAGAATGAGAATGTTATTACTTATTTGCTTTTTATAATTTGTATATGGAGAAAATATTGTAGTAAAACTTGTTAAAGTTATATTTTCTTGTTTCTTGTAAAGTTGGACTATATTGAAACTGTAGTATAAATTACTATAGAAATAGTACTAGTAGAATAGTTGCTATAGAAATAGACAATCTACCTAGTATGTGATAAACATTTTTAAGTCATTCTAATAATTTTGTACTAAAATTATTAAACGTACATGATATTTTTAAACAAATATAAAACAATTCCTGTTATAATTTTGTATGGTCTAAGATTACAAAAAATTTTGTTGTAATTTTTGCTGCAATATTTTCTCTATGTATGAAAAGACTGGTGAATAGTCAGAGAATAAACTTTCGGGATTAAAAAACTAAAATCTCAAATAATAGTTTGTATACTGTTCTTATAATATTGACAATTAAATAGATAAACGAGATAATTTTCTTGGACTTTAAAAGTAAATGATAAAATAATTTATCACAATATCTCACATTGGTCTCTTCCATTATTTTTTAAACATATTCTTTTTTCTATGAGAGACAGAAATAGTGATAATAAGAAGATCTTAAAAAAGTCAAAATGATTTTTTTAAGGTATTCAAGGCAATATTATTATTTCAATTATTATCAAAATTATATTAATACATGCATATTAAATAGTCACATGACATTCATGCATTCTTACATGAAAATTTTTAATTATAAGTAGGATGCAACTTAGTCATATTTGGTAATATTGTATTTTTGAGTTAGCATATAAATGCGCATATGCATTATATAATATTACCTAAGAAATACATGATACATGTATCGAGACACAATCAATTTAAGTTTTTATTAAGTATTTCGGAGTCAGCTTTCTTGAAGAGGTTTACAAGTTGCTGTGCGATTTCTTGGTTACATGCTGCTATGACTTTCGGTGTCATTATGTCGAGTTCACACCCTGTGAATTTCAGTTTTACATTTAATGGTCTTTGATACAGTGAACTAAAGTGAACTAGTTTAACTTTAAAAATTGAAGTAAACTTGGAAAGTATGAATTTATAGTGTGTAATTAGATAAGTTAAAAGTAAAATCAATATCCACCAGCAGTATCTATCACAACTCCACCAGCTTCTTCAATTAATAATTTCCCAGCTGCAACGTCCCAAGCATCTATACCTTCGATATGATAGGCTTCTATAGCTCCCATTGCTACATAGCACAATGTAAGTGCTGCTGTACCTAGTGATCGTATCCTAAAAGAATATATTTAATTCTAAGATTATTTCAGCAATTTCTATAAAGAATATCTTTGATATTCCTTAAAGTTGATTGAGTTTTCTTATATTTATAATTTTAATGTCTTTCTCATATCTATAATCTTAATATCTTTCATCTTATAAAATGTCTTTGTTGATATTATCATGACTTTGTTAATTAGTTTCTTGTTAAAGTATATTACCCATGAGTTCCTTGTATTAAAGCGTGCATTCTGCTGTACACACTAGTTAAATGTTGAGGGTCTTTCGCAAGCCATGGTTCCATAGCCACCAATGATTGAGATACATCTAAAATAGAACATACATTCTTATGAATAGACATACATTCTTTTTTAAAAAAATATTTGTTTCTTTGGGATAACTTGATGTATTGAAATGGGGAGTAATTATGTGTAACAAATTGATATTATTTTATAAAGAACGCGAGACATTTATTTTTCCGTACGTATACCATAATATTTATTGGATGTTAGATAATCTTTCACTGGATTGTAAAAATAGCATATTTTTTACACTTGTATTTTGAACAAAGATATAATAACGATACGATATAATAACATGTAAGAATTGTAATAGTGTGTATTTTTATGTTATTAGTTGACGAAGTAAATATTTTGTTGTATCCTTGACATGAAAAATACTTTAAGTGTATCGGCAAATTACCTCTAATGTCCGATGTTTTTATGGGTTTTCCGTTAAGAAAGGCGCCACAGTGTCTTCTGGCGGAAAAGAACTGCCTCATAAGAGGATTGTAAATTATACCGATTTCTGTCTTCTTGTTTACCATTAGCGCCAGGGAGATGCACGTATGCGGGAAACGATGTACGAAATTAGTGGTGCCATCTATAGGGTCAATTATCCATGTAGGATCGTTGGTTAGTTGCGGTAGACAACCTTCTTTTGCTACTGTTTCTTCACCAATAAATCTACAAGATTGAGTCTCGTTACCAACGATATATATACCTAGACTTATACCTATATACATATACCTAGACCAAGCGTTCATATACTTTTACTATAGCAGCGAGTGAAGCCGGGAATTGGCAGTTTGTGACTGAGAGAGAAAGTTGATTTGCATCTACTACTTCCTCACTTTTGGCTTATATGAGCAAGAGCAATACTTATCTAATCTTTTAGCTGTAAGCTGTGAAAGAAAAGGTACGAATAATAAATATTAAATAATTAAGATAATAATGATTATATTTCCTTCATATTTTATCTTTTTTCTTCGATATATTTGTCTATAAACGTATATTTAACCTAACTACTGTAGTATATATATGGCGACTCTTGACAGACGTTCTAAGATAGAGTGAGAAAAGTAGATGCAAAAATGTTCGTGTTGCTTGCACTTTTCGCACTTAGAACGAAATGGATGCGTGTTATTCGGACGCTGAAAAAAGTGAGAACAAAGAGTCCAAGACTCGTAATCTGAGTTCTCTTTTAACGATAAATGAGCCTCTAAAAGAGGCTTAGGGGCCGCCTGATTGGCTCAGAATAGTTAAGGCACTATAGTTAAGGCACTTTTATCGATTAAAGAAGGTTCAGAATATGGGCCCAAGTGTAAAGAGTGCAAGATTGACAGTCGCTCTAAGCAAGAGTGAGAAAGCAGTAGATGCAAAACAACTTTCTCACTCTGTCACAAACTGCCAACTTTCGGCTTCACTTACTGGAGAGAGTGTTTGGTCTATGTATATATATCGTTGCTCGTTACAGCCATCATTGATTGGCTGTTTGTCAACAATAACTCACTTGTGCGATGGAAATCTTATGGATAACTGCTTTATCAGTTTGTCCTCTATTCTGCGGTCGTATTCTGTGACAAGATCCCAATCAATGCCTTTACTCTTGACGCTTTTTCTCGCATTGATACCATCTTCTATTATCTGCAAAGAATACCGTTTCCGTGAAGTTCTCGATATCAATTATCGTTGCGTTGCTTCCTTCATCGGAAAAATTTTAATTTTAATTTTATTTTAATTGCGAAATTAATCGAAAAGCAGCCCTGCTGTATCTCAAAATTTGCATGATTACAAATTTAACACACTAAATGCCATGGCAGTAATAAGTGTGTAATGAATACACAAAGCATATAACTTATTTTAATACATTTTTATATATTTATTATATTATACATTTTTACATATTTTTATACATTTATTATATTATTATTTTATTATATTATTTTTATACATTTTATTATATTAGTGAATATTTTATTGTGATGTAAACAGTAAAGTTTGTATTACTAGTCGTGACTTAAAATTTCCCAGATAGACATATTTTGGCGTACTATCCACTGAATGACTAGTACAAATATTCGTTCTCTTACAACAGGAATTTTATCAATATATAAAAGAAGTCATCTGATACCATGAAAATTGTTGTTTATTTTGCCGAGAAGAGAATGGAATCGATCTGGAATTATTGTAATAATAAGAAGTAAATATTTTGATTAATATCATGGCGTGATAAATAGGTATATCTTAAAAAGAATATTTTTGAAACACGTTATAGCGTCATAAAGTACATTAAATGTTTGCATACCATTCAGCATTTTTGTTTATCTGGATCATAGCTGGGTCATGATGTACTTAGATTTGAGCTGAGAGTTAGATAAAGTTTTTCAATCGAATAGTGATTACAGGTGTAATATTACTTATATCTCTTTTCAATAAAACTTTAATATTCATTAAATCAAATTAGACTTTGTAATCGTTTCCATTATCTAGATATAATATGGTACAATATGATATGTTAAGCTGTAGTTGAATGATCAACAGTCGGAAACAATTATTGTATTTAGATATATGATACATATATATTTAGATATAATGTTGACGATTAGAAAATTTTTACGAATTAAATATTAAGACTGTATTGAAGCTCAGTGCATATTATAAAATTTAATTGAAAAAATTAGGGTAAAGGTGTAGAAAAAGGGCGCCACCTCCGATCAGCCTGATCTTAACATATGTCATAGAGGTCACCCTTCTGAGTGACCTTCTGAAGATTTTAGCCGTCGTTCATTGTTTGTTAAAAAGTTATTGATGAAAGAAGTTCGAAAAATATATTACAATTTTTCGATACTGTGTACCGTTAACGAGCAATATAATTCTTTATTAAAGTGTTCAACTTTTGTATTAATGTGACAATAGGTTGGGTTAGGTTAGTTTTGAGGGGGGTGCGGGGAGCGCAGCTCCCCGCTAGGTGTTCGATATTGTTCGTTAACGGTACACAGTATCAAAAAATTGTAATATATTTTTCAAACTTCTTTCAGCAATAACTTTTTAACAAGCAATGAGCGAAAATCTTGAACGACTAGCGGGGGGTTGCGCCCCCCGCACTCCTCTCAAAACTAACCTAACCCAACTTATCGTCACATCAAGCGTCAGTCATTCTTTATTAAAGTGTTTAACTTTTGTGTTATTGTGACGATAGGTTGGGTTAGGTTAGTTTTGAGGGAGGTGCGAGGGGCGCAGCTCCCCGCAAGTTGTTCGATATTGCACTTATTATTCAATATTGCTCGTTAACGGTATACAGTATCGAAAAATTGTAATATATTTTTCGGACTTCTTTCATCAATAACTTTTTAACAAACAATGAGCGACGGCTAAAATCTTCAGAAGGTCACTCAGAAGGGTGACCTCTATGACATATGTCAAGATGAGGCTGATCGGAGGTAACGCCCTTTTTCTACATCTTTACCAAAATTAGGTCAAATTCTAAATTCAGATCTGAATATTTCATATGGATAAGTTTTAAGTTACAATTATTAACACAGACCAAACTACGGGCATGTAAACTCGCTGAACAGTAATCGTGTTAATAAAATTATATCGGATACATACAAAATGTATTCGTAAATACATGGTAATATTTCAGAGGAATTTACATACGAAAGCAAGTAAAAAGATTTTCAAACATGTCGTATATGCATAATATATATTATAATTTCTAAATTATAAAAAACATAATCGAAGTATTTTGCTTTATGTTATAACACACGTCATGGCACGTAATTGAGTTTAACATTCGCCACAAAGAAGCTGTTTAAAAATATTGGCTTAAGGCTCTGCTACCTCGCTGCAGAAAGTCTGAATTGACGGTGGCTCCTAGTGTCGAGAACACAAAATAGCCGTGTCAGCGTAGCTGATTGAGCTGATGAGGCTAACACTAGGCCAAGCTCACGCTAGGCTTCGCTTGACACCTCGGAAAAATAGTTGCGTTTTATCGCGTTATTTAGGAGTTTCTCCGTGAACTGTGTGTATTTTCGTGATCCTCACAGTCATAAAATGTGCATCAAACTCTGTGATACTGGTGATATATTGTAAAAATCGAGAAATTAAATGTGTTCATACATCTCAAACCACCATGACAGTCGAAAAATGTACCATTACTTCAGGAATTATTTTACGATGCTATGTGATATATGCTACGTGATATATCAGTCAGATATCTGAGTTTGCTGTATTTTTTCAGGATTAGGAAAATATTTGGTTTTTCAGGGAAAAGTAAAAAATAAAGCAATAAAACGCAACTATTTTTTGGTATGTCATTTCTCGCTTCTGACGTCATCAAACCAATATGGCCGCCCTAGAATTAGCAGAGCCTTAGAAATAAAAGTTTAAAAGTAGATAGTTCATTTATAATATGTTTGTATCAGCATCACATATGTGTAACACACTGATCACGAAACAAATGTTACGTATATATGATGAAGCTAATTTTTTATTTTATGTCTACGTAAACAAATTAGATCTGTTTTACACTATTACCTAAAAAATATAGCGTGGTCTATATGAACGCTGTTGTAAATAAATGAAAAAAATGATGAGGAATATTTTAATCTTGTATAAAACTCAAAAATGTTGTATGTATAGTGTATGCTAAAATTTTTTATTTGTTTTAGTGTGTAAATTTACTCTTCGAAATATTTCCGTGTACTTATATAACACTTTGTGTATATAATTTATTATATATTTGTATATATAAATAAATGTATATACACACACACACACACGCGTGTGTGTGTGTGTGTGTGTGTGTGTGTGTGTGTGTGTGTGTGTGTGTGTGTGTGTGTGTGTGTGTGTGTGTGTGTGTGTGTGTGTGTGTGTGTGTGTGTGTGTGTGTGTGTGTGTGTGTGTGTGTGTGTGTGTGTGTGTGTGTGTGTGTGTGTGTGTGTGTGTGTGTGTGTGTGTGTGTGTGTGTGTGTGTGTGTGTGTGTGTGTGTGTGTGTGTGTGTGTGTGTGTGTGTGTGTGTGTGTGTGTGTGTGTGTGTGTGTGTGTGTGTGTGTGTGTGTGTGTGTGTGTGTGTGTGTGTGTGTGTGTGTGTGTGTGTGTGTGTGTGTGTG